TCTGTCTAGTTGCGCAAGTGGACTGTTAGATTGCTCATTCTATCTTATAATATTCGCTTCGAATTGGACAAAAAAATATTTTTCTTGGTATCAAATTGTACTCTTTTCAACCAAGCATGAATTAATATTTTTGATGCATAAAATCAACAATATCAATCAAGTGAAGTGACTGCCACCCATGGGGCGAGGTTAAAGGCAAGAAATGGCAAGAGACATTCTCTTCAATGCAAATTGAGACAATCTCCACTAGTCAAATGACGCCAGAAGATAAATACTCGTGCATTTCAGATCTAAACCCAAGCATTGCCATATGGTTATGACACCAAGGCCTTGTTTGATAATTTAATTGAACACTTAAATTTTAATGGATAATCTTAACATGTTCAGATGAATTTGATAATTAAAAATTGAACATTTGAATTAATTAAGTGGCACTGAATTTTCTAAATAAAACTTGCTCCGAAAAATAAGTGATAAGCTATTCACTTATCATTAAATGTGATATATATCCAAATGTATTAGATTTAATATTTAACAATCTAATAATTTTATAAATTCAAATTTCATATTTCAATTTTATAAAATGCATCCTAACGCTAGTAATCCAAGTCAACTAGGTATGCATGATCATAAGTGAACGTATTTTAGCAAAATGGTTAGATAGTACGGCCAAACTGTTCAATTGTTATCGTTCAGAAGGGCATGGCAGGTAACATACAATAACATAGGTTCAAGAGTTCCTCCAATGTGAAAATAAGACAAAACATTTAAGCCCTCCTGAAATGAAATGCATCCTAAGTTGTAAAAATGCCCAATTGATTTATTTAGGTAAAAATTGCAGTAGTGTTGTCAACTCAACTTGGTGGCATTAATCTACCGTGTGTGTGTGTGCATATATATATATATATATATATATATATGTGGAATAAATAGGTAATACATATAGGGATGGCAATGCGGGTACCCGCCCCGCGGGGGGCTAATGGGGAGGGGGTTGGAGCGGGGGAGTGTACCCCCACCTCATCCGCCGCCCGCCACCCACTTTAAAATAATAAATATATAATATATATATGTATATAATTATATATATAATATATAATTTAATTAGTTACAAACTTATGATAATGATATTATTAGTTATATGTATTATATAATGTCTATTAGTTTATATAATATAATTGATATTATTAATTATACTAATAATTATATATGTGTACTAATACAAATTATTAATTGGTTATACTAAATTTACTAATACATTTATACTAAATCCCTAATTACACTTAATACAATAACATTTTTTTCTTAAAAAAAACACAAGCACAATAATGAATTAGTGATTGTATTTGTGCCAAAAGCCAAAACTTGACAACTTTAGTTATATTTATTTTATAATGTTGGATTGTATTCAAATAATTTTTGTTTGATTGTTTTTATAAGTTTTAATTGTAACATTACAATGAATAATAATTTGATAATGTGTTGATATTTTAGTACTTGATTATTTGCTAAAATTTAACTATAATAAAATTATATAACAAATTTTTATTAACCTAGCGGGGGCACCTGTGGGGGAAGCGGGGTGGGGCGGGGCGGGGGACGGGAGATGGGGCGGGGGAAATTTGTAGGCAATGGGGCGAGGGATGGGGGAGGGGTTCCCCGCCCCAACCCCTTCCCGTTGCCATCCCTAAATACATATATATTAGGTAAAATTATCCCACATATATATGGGATAATTGCATAAATCTCTCTTAAGATTTCTAACAGTTGTACTCACCTCCCCTAATGTTTGAAAAATAACACTAAACTTCCCTGAACTTAAAATTTTGATAGCAACTTCAACCCATGTTAGAGAAAAATGCCATTAAAAAAGTCTTTTGAGATGTGAGATAATAAATTTGTTTCATTTGTTCCCTTTTTGTCTCTTGTGAGGTTGTATTGGTAAATGAATGAAAAACATTAAGAGATAGAAACAATTAGTAAAACTTAGAGGATATATGTGCAAAGAGAATAAGTGCAGCAGTAAAATCTACAAGAAACAACAAATATATGTTCAGAAATCTAAGATTCTAAAATATATAAAAAGACTATTGATCAAGTAAAAAAATTCACCTTGATCAATCCAAAAGAGTTTCTTATTGTCATACTTTATAATATATCGATCTAACACTATTTACCATATTTCGTACAAAGTTATACTCTCTTATGATCGATACAACAATTTCATCATACTATAACTAACGCCACAATTTTGTGTATTAAGTTGAGATGACAAAGGATTGCTTATTTATCATCTTCTGATTGCCACATATTTTTAATAGAAAAATATTTAGATTTTGCCTTGATTTCTGATTTTTTTTCTCCTTTTTTTTCATGAATACATAAGATGAAATAAGTTCAACCAAAACCACTAAAAATTATTCGTTTATGAAAATTTGTCTGGAGGTTTATTTATCCTACATTTTTCTTGTTTCTGCTTCTCTTCTATATAGAAAATATATGATTTTTATTGTTCTCTCAAGTATTATCAATCACAAAATGACACCATAGTGGAGCATCAATTGGCGCCATTTTGTAAGTGCACAAAAAATATTTAATGCTTGACTACTCTTCTAATCATCATTGTCAAGTTTAAGTCCAAAAAATTAGCATTCGCTTCATCTCTTAGGTCCGTCTGAACCATGATTTACCTGATAATTTAGTCAATGTACAAAACGAAACTTGATTACAACTTAAAACTAACTTGGATTTTGTGTGGCATACATAATAAGAGCCAATTTAGGATGAAAATTTAAGGGGCCGCTTGGTTCATGTTTAGGAATCGGAATTGTGATTGGAATCATTTACAAAAAATTAGTATGGGTTTTGGACAAGGTATGATTACAAATGGGGGTGCTTGGTAAATATTGGTAAGGAATGGGTATCAAATTTAATAATCAATTTTTTACCTTTAATTTCTTTTTTCTTTTCATATCTTTCTTCTTCCTCGTTCAAATGCTTATCCCACATGCCCATCCACCATATATATATTCATATATAAAAATTAATTTTCTGTTTAAATATATTTATAAATATTTATTTATATATATTTATATAAATTTATAAATATATTTATTTCAATTTTGTTTTATAATATGTATATTAATATTTATTAATATGTATATTTCAATTATGTATATTATATATGTTATATCAATTGAAATAAACAATATATATTTATATATAAATATTTTTGTTTAAAATATATTTATATATATTTATAAATTTATTTATATAAATTTATAAATATATTTATTTCAATTTTGTTTTATAATATGTATATTAATATATATTAATATGTATATTTCAATTATGTATATTATATAGATAAATTATAGTAATATTAATATGTATATTTCAATTATGTATATTATATATATTATATCAAATGAAATAAATAATATATATTTATATATAAATATTTTTGTTTAAAATATATTTATATATCTTTATAAATTTATTTATATATATTTATATAAATATATAAATATATTTATATAAATATATAAATATATTTATTTCAATTTTGTTTTATAATATGTATATTTCAATTAATATTTATATTTTATTATATATATAAATTATATTAATATTAATATGCATATTAGATATATTATATCAATTGAAATAAATATATATATTTATATATAAGTATGAATATTTATAAATATATATTTCAATTTTTTTATAATATGTATATTAATATATATATTTATATATAAATATATATATATATATTAATATACATATTATAAAAACAAAATTGAAATAAAAAATATTATATATATATAAATAAATAAATATTAATATATAGAAACGGAGCCAGTATATATTTAAAAAAATTCCAAAAATAATTTTTTGTTTAAAGATTTTGGAATCAAATGTGGGATTCATCAAACCCTCCAATCTACTTGGGTATGGAGAGTGGTTGATTTTTCATGAATCATTCCAAGATTTCAAAACCTATACCCATTAGTTAAGCAACAATTTTGGGACTCAATCCAATTCTTGATTCCTATACCCTCCAACTAAGCACCCCCTAAGTGAAAAATTACACCGTAACGATTCGTATACATAGCCCTAGCAATCAGAGAGAATTTTGACTCCATCATGTGAAGTCCGGTTGGCGATAGACTTTTACTCGTGTACTCTGCACATCCAACGGCCTAATTACTAGAATATTATTATTGTCCACATTTAACGTTAGTGCCATATCACTTTTCCTTTCACAGAAGGCCAAAAGAGAAAAACACACACACACACACAGACGACTCTCATGTACAAGAACAAGCTGCTGTCCAGAAGTTGGAGAAGATTGAAGTGCAAATTCAGAACAAGCTAACGTACAATCTCCTCCAAGCAAAGGAAATCTCAGGAAATGCGAATGGCCACACTGATGGAGGATATATATAGACTTAAGTCTTTGTTTCGCATGTGCTCCATTTACTTAGTAAATAGGAATCTTAACCATATTAGTCACAGAATTAGCGTGCAAGCGCTAGACTTCATCGAAGATCAAGAATTTTGGATTCCTCAGTGTTAGTTTGCACTAATTGTATAGTTCCCTCAAGTCTTTACTTGAAACTGTACAGGTTTAGAAACTGTACAGGTTTATCATCTATAAAATCACATATCATCTATAAAATCACATATCGTTTCGATAGGAAAAAAAATGTACAAGAACGACATTAGTACGTATATTCCTAGGCTTATTCCTATTCTGATTAGAAAATCACTCCAGAAATTTATTTATTTTCTTGTTCTAAAGGCCGAGAAATTCAACTGACTGCGCTCGCGATTCAACTTAATCACCTGCTAGAAGCCATCATTTACTCACTTGAACCTTGTACTGCTTTAGGAAGTTGTAACCGACTTGTTTACCATCTTTCAGACTCTCTCACCAATTAATATCCATCCATCCATCCAAAATTCAAACTTAGGTTGGAAAACATAAGTTAAAAGACTGAGAACAAGGAAACTGCATTCGTCCGTCTTCAACCAAATTGTAATTTATCCGGAGGCAAAGTCATATCAATCTAAGCAGTGAAATAGGCACCTAAGAAAAATAGATACTCGGAACTGATTATTGTTTTCTTCAATTTTTTTTTTTTTTTTTTTGGGATTGCTTTCTTCCAGCAACTTCTGTTCACCAGGAAACATTTAAGTCGCTCCCCTCATCCTCTCTTAGTCTGTACAATAACCCATCTAAGATTATTTTTGTATAGAAGAACCCAAACGGAAATGCTAATCGCCCCCCCAAATTTAAGAGCCCAACAAGAAAAACAAAATTACTACTTCCCTTCTATTGCCCACTTCTCCCTTCACCCCCACCAATCAATTGATACCAAAATTCATGTCCGCGGACATGGACATGAAAGAGATTTTTCGTGCAGTCCCCCCACCACTCAATCAGCATTCATTAATTTGGTCCGGATTTAATTTCTTTGCATAAATTATTTAATCAATTTTGCTAATTCCAATACGCTTGACCACAGCATTCCTGATTGCTTCAGTCTGCATACACATCCCATTCTGCTCTATCCCTGACATGTAACTCCTCACTTCTTTCCTTATCATTTCCTGCAATACCCCCAAGAATTCTTGGCTGAAGAACTGCCTCTCTGCTACTTGACCAGGCATAGGGGCTGGGGCTGGGGCTGGGGCGGGAACCGGGTACACGAATCCTCCCTGCGACTGCGGTGGTGCCACTGGTGCTGCTTGTGGCGGTGCCATTGGGGTCAGTGGCGCTGGTGCCAACGGTGGCGGCGGGGGCGGAGGAGGTGGCGGGGGAGGAGGTCTTACCATGACCTGAGTTGGCTGCTGTAGGGTTTGACCCGCCGCCCCGAGTGAAGGGGTTGGATCATCAACCGACTTGGAGTTCTGGGTCGGACTTTTTGCGGAGCTGGAGCCGGGTAGGGATAGGGTTAGGGATGTTGGCGGGTCTGGTGCTGCCGCCGAAAGCGTCTCGATCTGCTGAACCGGAGGGGAGATTCCGCCGGTGAGAGCAAGGGGTCGGAAAACATGACCGGATCCGAAACCCGAAAGGCTCGAGTCACTCAAGTCGGATCCAGAAGGGCTGCTCGGGTTGACATATATGGCGGAAACATTCGTACCGGGACCGACGCTGGCGGATCTCTTGAGAGGCTGCTGAGGGACTTCGAAGTTGAAATCGTCGGACATGGAAGAGCACCTTCTCTTGAGGGTGGAATTCCAGTGGTTCTTGATGGCGTTATCGGTTCGACCTGAGAGCAAACGGGCTATGGTGGCCCATTTGTTCCCAAACTTGGCATGAGCCCGAATGATCTTCTCGTCCTCGTCGGCCGTAAAAGCCCGATGCTCCACCTGCGGCGAAAGTTGGTTACACCAGCGGAGCCTGCAGGATTTCCCGGATCGACCCGGAATCGACTTGCTAATCAAGGACCAATTCCTGGGGCCGTGCTTCTCAACAAGCCTCTGTAACAGCTCATCTTCTTCGGGGCTCCACGGACCCTTGATCCGATCCGATTCTTTTCTGTGCGCGATCGTCCCCATGGCTGTTTGCTTTGTTAACCTAATTATATTAACCACCTAAGAGCCTAGAGAAATTTACGGGTGAGTGCCACTGTACAATTAGATGGGGGAGGCGGAGCCTCGCCTTACTGCTAATATCAAAAAGCAGAGTGAAGAGGGCAAATTGGGGGGGTATAAATATGAGAGAGTTAGGATAGGGATGACTGGTTGGAGCCGGTTGGGATAACCAGTAAAAGGCAGTTAAGCCGTAGGATACAGCTGGCGAGGGACACGCGTCGGTGGGCGAGAGAGCGGAGTGGACACCTATATGAATCACACTCACTAAAATCTCGGGTTTTTTTAGATTATGGGAATTTAATTTCAAATCACCGACCGTTTTGGAAGTTAATTATATAATGGAGTGTGTGAGTGTGTGTGATTTTTTAAGTGGGGAGGGGAGTTGATTTGAATTGAGTGTACGTACGGTTGAGGAGGTTGGATGGACTTTGACTGAGCCAGGCTGGAGAGCATAGAGGGAATTTTTTTTTTTTCTCTTTTTCTTTTCTTCTTTCTTTTTTTTTTTTGGGATTATTAAAGTGTTTTTTTAAAAATTATTTAATTCTGGATTTTTAGTTGGGGAGTTGGTTTAAATTGGAGTGGGGTCCTAGGGGGCGGGTGGTGATGAGGTGGCGCTAAAGGACAAAAACGGACGCAGAAATGGGGGGATGAGGCCAGGCTGTAAAACTAGAAACTGACCACTCCCCATGCTTAACTGCCTATCACTTTGCGGGTACCACCTCCACGTGCCAGTCACACGTGGCCCCTTCTCAATTTTTTGAACCGCCAAAACCGACTTTAACGTTTTTTCCTTCCGCAGTGACGCGCTGTGCATTGGGGCATGATATTGATGTTTCTCTTTCCCATCAATGTGGGCATTGTTATGGGTATTTGATTATGGTTGTGTCTGTTACGCCACCGATAAAAAGCACAAGTCGTTATTGGCATGAAATTTAATTCTACGAACAATAATAAAGAATCACATAGGTTGAATTATCTCTCTCTTTAAAACATTAATAATGACCTTAAGCTAAAGCTAAAATAATTGAAGAAACTCGGAATAATTAATGTCTATCTTCTCAACTTTCCTGGGATTGCTTAATTCGGTTCCCATATTAACAAATTGATTCATTAAGCTATTGCAAGGGAGCTCCTCTTCTCATTAATTGGTGCTGGAAGGAAATGAACCATAATAGAATTGAGAAACTGCAGTATTGTATTATGCTTAATCATTGCGAGCTAAAAAAAAAAAAAACCATAAAAAAGGAAAGGAAAAAGTTCGTTAGCTTCATTTATCTATGGCACGTATTTGGATTGTAGCTTATTTGTAAAATTTTACTTACATGTATTATATCAGTATATTTTTTAATCGATTTTTTTATCTCACATACATCACATATAAAAAGTGTTACGTTATTCTTTTTTTAAAAAAATTTATCTCAAAATAATCTAATATTCAGACACACTATCAAGTCGATGTATAATTTCCCTGCTTTAGTAAACAATACCGTGTTGTTTTAGCTATTATGGTAAAAGACACTTGTTATGAATAGGAATATATTGTTAAGGATCCATTGACTATAAGAGTTATTTATCTTATTTATCTTTTTTTTTTCTCGGACACTCTAAATGGTTATTTTGTCAGATAAATTATTTATTACATCATGTATTATACGCTCTCGCGCCTTACGTGAAGCTACTACAAAGTAGACCAGTTTCCCAAGGAAAAGTTTAGCAGATCGGAATCTCATTTAAAAAATTGTCGCGTATCTTAATTCGACTGATATTCTTTAATGGAGGAACTTAATTGTTTGCGTCTTTCGTCGATAATTGACCTTCAATATGCACGTCAATCTTGATTGGACAAGGCTTTTGCACAAAGTAGATCAAAATTAAATTGTGAATGCGGTTGGGACGTCAAATTAATTCCTAGCGCTCACTAGTCAATCCTTCAAGGCGTCACTCAGCACCACAAGTTTTTTTATGGTCGAGTTTTCTTTTTCTCAGACAAAATCGATCAAAATAATATATATATATATATATGGATAATTAATGTTGACACATCCAAAATTATTCCTAGCTCTATTTTCTCGTCCTTCGATTTTCCGGTGAATCATTTTGAACTAATATTATGGTGACATATATCCATGTCGATATTTTTAACTTCTGAAAGCCTATTCACGATACTCATATATTCCTAGGTTTTTTTTTTTTTTTGGGCTATGGCAAAATTTTAAGACCTTGTTTGGATTTTTTTTTTGGAATCTTTTATAAAAAAAAATTATTATAACGATTTGATATATGTAAAATAAAAAATTACATAACAATTTTTCTTTAAAAAAGGACAATCCAAACACATCCAAAAATAATTATCGAGTTTGGTTTCTTGATGGGTGAAAAAAGGAGGGGTTGGTTTCGTAATTTTCCGTGCTCTTTTCGCTTTTCGAACACCACATGTTTTTTAGTTAGCTCAGAGTTTCTGGAATATTCCGGAGACAAGAAACCGTTTCTAATTAATCTTCCTGAGGATTGAGGAAATCGCAGTTACCGCAAAAGAATCCGATCCGATCCGATTCGTAAAAATAAAAATGCTAACAGAAAAGACAAATGATGCAGTCCGTTACTTGCTGGTTACGCTGGGGTGACAGCTGTCTGGAGAAACGTACCACTGAAAAATTTTTCTGTCTTTTGCCACGCATGCCGGTGTCACGTGCCACCATCGTCCGTCCCTCACCTAATTCCGTCCTTGGGCCGTACCCGCACGTTCACACCCGATAGCCCATGCCAATTACCGAACCCATCACGTGACTCCAAAATTCACCTCATCCCTCCCCCCCTCCCACGTCCCTTTTTTTGTTTTTCCCATAATTTTGCACCTTCGAGCTATGCTCCAATTTTTACTTCAGACCTAAACCAGAGTTTAAGAGTTAGCCTCTCCTTTTTTTTTTTTCTTTTTTTTTTTCTGAGTGGTTCGTATAATAATTCGCTAGCTGCAGATCACTAATGTCTTACTCTATTGCTACATGTCAACAGGGATGGAATGTATAAAAATGAATCCAAATCCATATGGATGGATTAAATTTCGTAGTAACTCGTGGCACGTATTTTTCTTTCTTTCTGGTACTTACACGATTTATGTGGAGAAAGAAAGTAAAGGTTCTAATAAAAGCTATCTAGTAGCAAGAAAACTGGGAAAGGTCCACTAGAAAAAGTGTTTTAAATATATATAAAAAGATAAATTTTCTTTTACAAAAAAAAAAAAAAATTAGATCATGTTATATAACATAAATTCAAAATTCAAGTTATGCGTATTTAGTATACGTCTAAAATTATTAATATAAAAAAAAATCACTATATACTATCGGTATATAGAAAAAGTCAATCTTCTATAAATATAAAGAAAATGCGTGACGCAGTTAAATTACACCGGTTTGGTGACCGTGGGAGTCAGATACTCAATTTTCAAAAAAAAAAAAAAGGAGAAGCAGCCGAAAATATCTTCCGACCAGGAGGCTAGGTGTAACTAAAACTTTTGACGCTAATACACTGCTTTAATTTTTTTTTAATTAAATAGACATATTGGAGTGACCGGGCCGGGGAAGAAAGAAATAGGGAAAATGGGAAACCGTCTTGATTCGCTTAACTTGAATGGGATATATAATGGAGGGGATGTCAGGCTTTATTGCAGTAGCTTTTTAGCTTTGCCATTCTTGCCTTTAGACAAGTATATAAGTACAAGTGAGGAACATTTGTGGTGTGGTACCAGCATTAATTAATCAACATATTCCGAATAAAGATGGCATTGTAATTTGTGGGAATCATTCTTCCGGCGAATAGTTAATACACCATTTGGATGAATGATCCACGTGGTGGGGAAAAGCCCGACATATTCTCTTCTGCTTCTTTTTTTTTTTTTTTTCAAGGAAAGTAACAAAAACCAACATATTCTCTTCTGGATTCAACTTGTAGACTAAGAAGAAGATCAGGGGCTGTGGCTGATAAAAGGTTTTGTCAAACTTCGAAAGCTAATATATATATAGGAGCAAGCAATATAGTAGTAGTATCATGCAAAAGATCTTGTACGGTGTCAAAAGGCCGAAAATGTTAGCCTGGATTGTTTCGAAGCACATCCATTGAACTGAACCTCATACCAGTAAAAAGAGAAATCCCAGCATGCAACTATCAATTCTGTTTTTATTAAAGCTTTTTGATCAATGCAGCTGGCCGCATCGTACGGATGAGGACCACAAGATCACTCTGTTAAGATGCAGCACCACCAAGTACCATCATTTGTAACGGATAAACCTCTTTAATTAGCCACAGGTGACAAATTTCAAGAATCAAAGGCCCAGCCAGTGCTATCTTCATTTTTTTTTTTTTTTTGTTCCTTGGAAAGTTGATACATGTAGTTCCTGCTCACATTCACAGGATCACAGTTGGAAAAATGGATTTAATAGACATCTTTACGTGAAGACATCAGTCACTGTGATGTTTTAAAGCCAGATTCCACTCCGTTGGTTCTACATTCAAATCCAATGCAAAACTACATTCAAGATTTGCAACTGTCGATGATATTGAAATGTTTTTGCAAACTACATTGATTCAACTGCCGTAGTTCCTGTTCTTCACAGGAGCACCCTCCTCATAATAAGCCTTAAAGCCCTCCAGCCGTGCATTGCACTGGTGAAAGAGAAAAGCGGGAAAAAGAAATAAAGCGATAAATACTAACAAAACAAAACAAAACAAAAATAGAGAGAGAGGAAAAGTTTAAAAAAAAAAAAAAAACGTGCATGCCTGAGAATCAGTAGTAACCAACTGGAGCAATTATTCATCAGGATTTCACACACACACACGAGATAATTCTGCCTGTCTCTCTCTTGAATTATTGGGTACAGTACAACAGTTAACAGCATGGGTTGGAAGGTACCACTCCAACACTATATGGCGCCGAATTTCCGCTGCAACGGACAGTTGTGATGGTGGGACCCGAGACGAAACACGTGTATTAAGGGCTGATGACTAAACGCCCGACATGTTACAGCTTAATCATGAGATATCTATCTTGCCACGTCGGAAGTTTGTTAAGTGGGATCTGCAGCGTCCATTGTCCGTTTCTGAGTGATGTGTGCAAAACTTTAACGGGCCTAACTGCAACTTTTGAAATTTTCGCACAACTCCGCGGTCCCCCAAGTCCCACCAGGTCATTAGTTTTTGCCAGCTATAATCCACTTCTTTCACGAGTCTCCATACAAAAAAAAAAAAAAAAAAAAAAAAAATCTTTGCTTTATGTCTGTTCTGTACTTCCGTTCTTTATTTTACTAGACTCTCTCAATCTATTAGTAGTCGTTGTGAACTGAAGAAGCGCAGAGCTTCCCCGAGGAGAGCTGACTGATCAGCTCGGGGTGTCGATGGGAGAGCTGATCCAAGACCTGCAAAACAGAGAAGAGGGGCTAACAAAGGGGCCCCGAGGTGGTCCCCGAGGGCACTCCGACGGCCAAGTTAGTTCTCCGGTGAGTAGGGTTCACGGGGAGTGGTAACAGCCGGGGGTAATTGGCCTATAGCGAGCGTACCTTGGGCAATGGGTGTGTAGCACTATTTATACCTGGGCCAGAGTCCGACCTCCGTACGTTCCGGGACCTTCCTGATATAATCTCAATCCCGCGCCGAGCGGGATCTCCTCCGACCTCTGCGGGACGGTCTCCTGATCCCCCTGGAGCCCTAGCGGGGGTGCGGCCCAGGGCGGTAGCCAGGAGCCTGGGGCCGGAACCCAACTCGGCTATACCTGGGCTGCCACGTGTCTAGGCCCAATACAGGGCCTCTGCATGAACCTAAATTGGCTCTGCTCGGTTGATCACGAAAAACGCTGATTTTTTTTTTTGTGTGAAAAAAAATTACTAGTAGCTGTTTTGGAAGAGCTACTGTAGTAATATGCAATTTGCTTTTTGCTGTTGTTGCTGTTGATGATATAGTTTAAAATTTGATATGATTAGTGGCAGAAAAATAGGAATTATCCAATTTATTTTTCTCTTACCAAGATTGTATTTGGATTAAAAAAATAAATTTGTCATCTTCATAAGAATTACGTCCGTATTAAGTTGTGAATTATGACGAGTATTTCTATGACGCGGGAATTCGTAATTCTATCACAGCATATCATGGAAGGTGGGGTGGCACCATCCTATGACTGCTACATGCTACTAGTAGTAGTTTATTTCTTTGACTCTTCATCGGATGCACCTTATCAAATTGTTATAAAAGCTCGTCCCACGAATAAACCTAGCGTTCAATTTACCCCTTTTTTTTATAAAAAAAAAAAAAAAAAATTTGTGAAGGAAACCCAATCATCTTTTTCTTTTTATTTCTTTTTCTGGAAAATAAAAACTTACAAGTTGCCTCCTTTGATCTTTTTGATCATGATTTAGTACGTGGAAAATACTCGTAGTTGATAGTGATCAGGATTAGAAGAAAGAAGGAAAATGATTGAGAAAGTTCAAAGGGCTGAGGAAGGGGGTATTGGGACCATAACTTACCCAGCAGAACTTTGCTTTTAAGAAGTGGACTTCAGTCTTTCATTTAACCAAATTTATTAAGAAGAGTAATTAATAAGCGGAGGTAGTTTCCAAAATGTTAACAGTAATATAAATTAAACCAATATTATTGATTGAGAAGACCTTCTTTATTTATTTATTTATTTTTGGTACGTCGGAGGGAGAAGACCTTCGATCATTTGCTTCCTGTCTTCTCCTTCTAGACTGAAGTTTCCATTGTAGCTACTAAACAGGTTGGATTTTGTTTCTTCAATTCAAAGCAACTAAAACGGTGGACAAAACCAAAACCGTTTTCATTTTCCAATTTATTTTTATTCAGTTTAAGCGGTCAAACCTGCGACGAAAATATTAAATAGACGGGAAAGAAGAAAGTTCATTCTCACACCAACTAACCGAAAACATCACGCCACCAGTTGTTTGTTTCCACAACAGCTTTGACTAAGATTTTTTTTTTTTTTTTTTTTATAAAAAAAACAGTAACAGCTGTTTTAGGACTTCAGCAGTTCTTTCCAGGCAGTTTCTCGTACACAAATTGCAACCAATTCTCGTGATTCACCCCAAAAACCAAAAAACTAAGAAAATCTTTTGACTTCGGAGAAAGATTTTGTAAACAGCGCGCGCTCAAAATAAAGAACTTTGACTCAAAATATTTTCCCTGTTGCATATTTGAATGATATTTCTGAAAACCATATTTCTGAAAAGCAGTGCAGATTTTCAAAGAAAAATTATTACGTTTTTTGTGATTATATTTTTTAATTAACTTTTTATCTCATATATATATCAAATCGGTACAGTGTTTGTTCTATAAATAGTCCAGAAAAATGGAATCCAAAGTATTTGTTCTTATTTTTACACCAAGCGCAAATTGCTTCGCCATTTAGAAGGTATATATAATTAAGGAGGAATGATATTAAAAAAAAAAAAAAAAAAAAAAGTACGAGGTGGGACCTTAACATACACTACTGTGTTTTGTCCTGACATCTCAGCTAAGATTTTACAAACTAATAATGCAACCACTAACCACCCATTTTGGATGAGTTGTATTTCAATAAATAGCAGAGTAGTGTCAATTATGAATGGCAGGCAGGTAACCAAAAGACGGAAGAGATAGGGAGGGATAAGCAAGTACCGTGAAAGTCGTGGTTCTCGTGTTACAATTACTTTTCCGAATAACCCGTACTGCTAATTGAAAAAGACCAGAGGGACCCTTTTGTATTTGACTAGTCATTAAATTAACAGACCAAAACAAAAGGGCCAAGGAAGAGGGTCTCTCCTCTCGTACATGAAGAAGAACCCGCCGCTGCCGGAGAGCTTACTCATCCGACTTGATGGTCTCTGTCTCCGCTTTTTCTCATTCCCAGCTCTCTTTTGACAAATAAATTGTAAATTAAGCCAATAATGATTTGTCTAAAAGTCTAAAACAAACAAAAAAGTTAACTTGCAGTCTAGCTGTATAATTTTTATCGTTTCATGCCCACGCTACGCAGCTTCATTAATCCTTGAGGGATACTCAATTAGAATGGCTAGCGAACCCTTCTAGAATTATTAATAAGTTTTGTTTTGTATCTTTTTGATTGGATTTGGACAGGTCATGTCCAGTAAGGGTCAATGGATTTGATTGAAACCAAATGCTAACAGTAACTTATGTTGGGATGATGCCTGGGTTGACCCTGTGGATATCTACCATGAATGATCCATCCATCCATCCATCCAAGGGCAAGTAAGTAAACGTGTCGGAATTAATTCTTGAAGGTAGACGTGCTTGACTGGGTCAAAATTGGCTCTCTCCAAAAATCATTATTATCGTGCTTTTGCTTTCGAGGCCCGACAGTGATACCTAACCTAAGTTACGAAGACCAAAAAAAAAAAAAAAAAAAATTAACGTCGTGCTGTGCTTGTGCTTGTGCATGCAAAAAATTCCTTTCTTTCGGCATAATTAGTGTGGTTAGCGTGAGATTGTGAAACTTCCAATCCAGATGTGACAATAATGCGCAGAGCTTCAAGTTTCAACCCAGAAAAAAGGTCTAATCCAGATGATTTCCCCTTCAGGCTGATGCGCCCCAGAGAATTTTAAAAGGGGCATATCATATGCGGGTTGAAGTTGTTTTAATTAAAGATATCCTGGATACGAGTTGTCTCTTGTATTCAACTAAATCTTGCCAGGGCGAAAGACAAGAAAATCTGTTGTCTTTGACAGTCGTAAATTCAAACAAAAAAGAAAAGAACCAAGGTAATATGCTGTACAGTAAAAAAAAAAAGAAGAGGTCAATTTATATCGTTGAGACTTGGGAGGGCTGCTCCTTTCCACCTGGATCTTGCAACTTGCCAAACAGTAAGAAGGAAATGGTGGCACAAGCAATATTAGCCGCAGCTGAAGAAGAAGGAGAAGAAGAAGAAGACGTTGACTTTCTAATTAATTTCCAATTAATGAAGCCATCAATCAGCCATGATGCAGGTCGACGTGGTTTTTTCCTGTCCAATTAGAATTAGCGGCTTAATCAAACTCTGTTCAATCAGAATCGCAAATCGGGCCCTGAAATCTACTACGGCCCTGATATTCGGTTGGACTTTCACTTTTTGGAATTCTTTTGGACTGTGGAGTCGTGCGGCTTGTGACAAAATGTTTTCCCACTTTCGGGCCACAATATTCGATCGCTTGCGACTGCTGTCAAACCTGGCGGCTTCCCCTTTTTTTTTTTTTTTTTTGTCATTTTTTGGTGCCTTTTTCGGTTTTAATGATTCCCTCACTCCATCTTCCTTGTCTATTTTGGTTCTCTTGAAACATTGGGACCCTACACCTTCTCAAATTTTCCATGAACCAATTAACCGCTTTTGTTTCTTTCAGAAGTTCAAGAACCAGGCAAAACTAGTTGGAGGACTCGTGCATAGACTTTTTTTTTTTTTTGGGGTCATGAATATGATGTCCTTTTTATCTCATTGCCATAAAAATTATTATGAGTTGGCTTAATTGAGCTCTGAGCTTCATATACCATTCTGAGACCATAAATGCTCCAGCTCGGCTCAATTCAGATGCACCCTACTAACAAAAACAGGGGGAAAAAGGAAAAACAAAAAAAGCCCATAGCGAATTGGTCATATCCTCTCTCTCTCTCTCTCTCTCTCTCCAGCTATAAATGTACTGTGTGAAAGTTAAATAGAACTGGGCTCGTATCCTTTCTGGATCAACTGCTTAAACAGAATTTTGGACTTGAAGTTTGAAGACTATGAAACATGGGCCATGAGGCCTGACAACCAGAGGTATTTTGTACAGCCGGGGAATGGGCTAAGATTAGTGTTTGACTTTTGATCTGATATTGGCATTCTTTTGCACCTGGTTGTATCCAAAATAGGCTTTTGGTTTTTGGATATAATATAATCGTACCACAAGGAACACATCATTCTCTATTGGTATGTGGAAAAGAGGCAAAAAAAATATATATATATATTGCACGCGTATAATTGTGGTAACGCGCTCCTTCCAAATGACAATAGCTTAATTTTCCCGTTTGATGAGCCAACATAGTCATAAATGTGGGGCTTTGCTGCATCATCCTGAATATCAAAAAGCTACATCAGCCAGCTTAGGAAAGACCTGAATAAATGTGTTTCCAATTTTTAATTTGGATCAGCATTAAGTTATTGATTATTCTAACACCAACAGCTTTGTATAAGGAGGCAGTTTCCCCTAACTAATTTGATACAGCATTGCCCTGCAGCAATGATGATTGAATTTCTCTTTCTTCTTTCGGCCTATGTAAGCTTTATGAGTGGCAATGCCCAGGCGACTGATGGTTATGCTACAGATTCACCAAAGAACGTATTCATCTTAGCCGGACAAAGCAACATGGCTGGCAGAGGAGGAGTGATTGATGGCATCTGGGATGGGATTATTCCTCCTGAATGTAAATCCAATCCGTTCATCCGACGACTTAGTGCAAACCTGTCATGGGAGGAGGCAACAGAGCCCTTGCACAGAGACATCGATGTGAACAAAACCTGTGGGATTGGACCAGGTATGGCATTTGCTAATTCAGTCTTACAAGGGGACCCCAGCTCGGGGTATATTGGCCTGGTTCCTTGTGCCGTTGGAGGGACGAATATAAGCCAATGGGCTCGCGGCACCGACCTGTATAACCAGCTTATCAGGAGGGCTAGAGCGGCCGTTCAAAGTGGTGGAATAATCAGGGCTCTGTTGTGGTATCAAGGCGAGAGTGATACCGTCAGTTTCGAAGACGCCAGACGTTACAAGAGCAATTTGCAGAGGTTTTTAACGGATGTTCGCTCTGGTTTGCAATCCCCTATCCTCCCCGTGTTTCAGGTCATTCTTTCCAGCCTTTTAAACTTGTATTCGATGCTTCAGAGAGTTCAATGTTTCGATCAAATTCTGTTTTCTTGATTCAGCACTGAATTTGTTCGTCTGATTTTCACAGGTTGCATTGGCATCCGGTGAAGGACCATACGTTGAGATTGTGAGACAGGCTCAGTTGGGAGCTGAGCTTCCAAACGTGCGATGTGTAGATGCAAAGGGTTTAGAGCTGCAGCCGGATAATTTACACCTCACTGCTCAGGCTCAGGTCCAGCTAGGGGAGATGTTGGCTGATGCGTTTTTCCAGACTCCGCCTTATCCCCTTCCCAGTAATGCTCACAGAGGACTACATTAGTTTTGTTACCAATTTTGCTCTTAGCCCTTCAGGCATCTACATTGGAAATGGATTAACTGTTAAGTTAGATAGAACATGAATTGACTAATTGAATTATACATATAGCAACTGATGGAGTCCAAAAAATGGACAAAATTTGTTAAAAAGTTTTTGGAACCAGACCTCAGTAGCAATACTACACAAATGCTACAAAATTAAAAGACACTTTTTTTTTTTTCTCTTTTGTCTTATTATGTAATTCCAAATTCAATATGTTCTAGCTCTTTGGTTCTGTTAGGAGCAGTTGATTTGTCGTAATCAAACATCAGCAGAGTTTCCTTAGAATATGGAATACCATACGTTACACAGAGAAATGAATAGGCCCCAGTTTCTTTTGCATTTAGTTGTAAGAGCTGCTAAACCTCCATCTGATTGATTCCATATAACAAGGCTTTAAACGTTATTAAATTGGAATCTCTATTTTACAGGAAACAGTACAAAAGCTTGAATGACAAAGATGATGACCAGACCAGCTGCATTTTGACGTCCAGTTGAAAAGACTCGCATCATTTCACCAAGCTAGAGCTCCACTTGAAGATCAGCAAGGCAGAGAAGCTGGTCTCCGATTTTCTTTTGTTTTCTTTGCCGTTCTCTACGGTTTTCTGAACGTTTAGCTGATTTTGTTAAAAATTGCTTGCTTAAATGAGTCGGACCGTTTGATAATAAAAGCAAATTCGTATCTTTTTCTATGACTTTTTTCCTCTTTTCCTTTCCAATGTTAAGGAGAGGAGAACAAATCTTTGACGAAATCACTAATAAAGCAAATTTGCGATTCTAAGTATAATGCAGTTGCCATTGAACGATTATGAATTATAACAACTGTATATTTGCTTTCTTTGAGTAAATACTGAACCAGTCGCACTTTCAAATTTCAATTAGACAGCTTTTCCTCCAATAAATGTTCATTACCGTTCAATTCATCTTTTGGTTTCAGGTTGTGGGACATGTTTCCTGAATAACATTTTACATAAAATATCAATGCCAGGTATTAAATAGTCCATGGGATTAGAAGACAAAAATTCCCCATTTCCAAGCTGCGAATATTTGTTCCCATCACTGAATGCTGTGGGGGCAAAGCAATTAAACACCTATGTAATCAAATGATCCCAAAAAAAAGGAAAAAAGAAAAAGGGTGGATTTCAATAAAACCAGAGACGTATAACTGTTGATTAGGACATACAACATTCACAAGATTTCTTGAGCAAATTGAATTTCAGATTTCTGGAACATCATAAGGAGCTATAGGCTTACTAGAACATTACTGCTCCTTCACTCTCTTGATGAAGCAGAATGTCCACCACCTCCCTCATTGTTGGCCTGGCATCTATGTCCTCCTCTGCACACTTCAGAGCAACTTTAACCAAAATTTCCATCCGCTCCATATCGAATTCACCATCCAGGGCAGGGTCAACAATTCCCATAACAGATGTAGGTGATCCTCTTCCATCAGCTTCCTGCATTTTCCCCTTCACCCAACTCACAAGCCTTCTCGGCTCAACCGCGCTGCTGTCATCATTAGAATTTCCACCTGTAGGTCTCCTTCCAGTTATTAGTTCCAACACAACAATTCCGTAGCTATAGACATCAACCTTAGAAGTGATTGGAAGGTTGAAAGCCCATTCGGGTGCCATGTAACCTCTAGTTCCCCTAATCTTGGAAAATTGTAGATTGTCAATACCACTTCTGTTCAGCAGTTTAGAGAGCCCAAAGTCTGCTACCTTTGGCTGATAACCAGAGTTCAAAAGTATGTTTTCGGGCTTCACATCACAATGCAAAACCCACTCAAGGCACTCTTCGTGCAGGTAAGCAAGTCCCCTGGCTGTACCTAGAGCAATTTCATATCTCTTCTTCCAATCAAGTTTATCAGAACACAAACTGTTTGCTAGAGTCCCGTGTTCCATGTATTCATACACCAAAAGCCTGTGCTTCCCCTCGGCACAATAGCCCCATATTTCTATCAAATTCATATGGTTGAGCCTCCCAATGGTGCTTATCTCCGCAAGAAATTCAGCTTCTCCTTGGATTGCTTCCTTCAGATACTTGATCGCAGCAACTCGATTATCCGACAACATGCCTTTGTATACAACACCACCCCCTCCTTGTCCTATTTCTTCGCTGAAGTTCCTTGTTGCCTTCTTCAGCTCGGCATAACTGAATTTCCTAAATCCCGTTGCAACCTGAAGGTAGCCCTGTATCTTTGCACTAGACCGTCTTTGGGTTTTGAAGAAGTAAGTGAATAAACAGATTATCTCGAAAGCTCCAATAGCCAGAGTACACCACAGAAAGGACTTCACCCAATCTTGGTTTTTTCTTTCATAAGTCCTGTCCAATGGCGTAATCTGGGCAGTGCATTGCAAATTTAGATCTCGGCTAGGCTTAATCGTATTCAGATTTATTGTGGGTACTCTTATGTACATGGGATCTGGAAAATCACCCGAACGATATCCATTGAATAAAATAGTCTTGGGCTTACAACTATAGTAGCCATTTACTAAGTCAAACGTATATTGAAATCCTTTGCATTCACAATAACTCAAGCATAAGTTTTTACAACTCTCGAAGGTGTAATTAGTGAACGAGCCAAGATCGTAGCCATTATATTGGACATTGAGCAATTGGACAAAACCTGATGAAACAGTGTCATTGCACGAGAGCTTGAAATCCGGCTCACACCCATTAGACCAATCCGTCAAATTGTTCATCTTATATCCAGGTAGACAAGTGCATTTCCTCTCACTGTCAGGAGCAGAGCTACATATGCTGTTGGCGCCACAAATGCCAGGAATACTGCATGGTTCAGAGCTTTGTTGCCATGTAACCTGCCAGCTCTGAGTGGCCTTATCTAGACTATAGACCCGAAGGTTGCCATCAACATCCATTACCAATCTTCTCTGAAGTCTAACACCACAATCAGAAGTATTAAACTGAAGTGTATCAGATGACAAGAAGTAGCCTGATGAGTTTAACATGGCAACTTTACTACTGTTGTAGGTGGACCTGCCTGCGGTCCAGATAACAAGCGTTGGATCAGGCCAGAAAACATTAGTTATTTCAGGGCCCTCGTACCGGAGATGCAGGACATTATCGCTACCGAAATATAACTTGTAAAAACCAGAGGAATAATTAGTTTTGCTTCTGGAGGAAACAAGAATTGAGTTTCTGGTAAACAGTTGCTCGGGAAGGAGAGTATCTGTAGCGGAATCAAAACTTTGCCAAAGATTTTGGCCATCAGAAGTGCTCAGAATAAGGTTACCATTATCATGAAGTTCCAATTGAACAGAAGAGCTTGATTCAGTAGCACTTGACCAAACAAGAAGCTGTCCCGCATCAGTCAACTCAAGATTGCCTGAATTTTGTAGAATCAGCTTGGTGTGCTGTCCGTTAACCGGCTGATCTCGATTGGCCATCCAAACTATTGTGTGATTATCACCATATCGCTCAGCGAACCATACAGAAAAGCAGTAAGAATTTTCACCGACGCTGAAAAATCCAGCGGCGAAAATGGCATCTGGGGTCGAAACAAGAAAATCCCGAGTCGAAAGCGATGAGCCCTTTGTTAAACTTGTATAGGTTCTCGAGAAAGATGGCAGTGGCAACGACAGGAGTAATGAAGAAAGGAGAAATCGAAGCAGGGTAGCCATGGCATGAGCAACAACTGCGACTGCTCCAATTAATGATCCACCTGAATTAGGTTTGAATAAATCTATATGCAGTCATTCTCTGACTTCGTATAAGTTCATAATTAAAAAATAATTGAAACTGCCGTTGACTACAGGATTCTTCAGCAGCCTCATGGCGTTGTGGAAATAAAATGATTTTTTTTTTCCCTTCCGGGGGAGTATGTAGTGAGAGTTATGACTATTAAGTGTTTGACCAAAAGGGGTGGTTGAATAATTTTTGCCAGGTGATAACTCATCTTTCACTACCTCTGTCAGATCAGAAGAAAAAAGTTAAAGGTTAAACTTAAAATTACCATGGGGTTCTTCTTTCTTTCTTTTTTTTTTTAAAAGGTACAAATATATATATATATATATATATATATATATATATATTTTAGTATTTAGTGATTTTATAGATATGTAAGAGAAAAGGTCACAATTAGCAGCTGCCACTCCCAATACAAAACTGCCAAACTGCTAGTTAGCGCAAAATTAACGTGGTCGGTCTGGTCTTAAAAAGCAATTCGGACCAACGGACACAGCTTTGACTTTCGGAATTGATCAATTAGATAAATGATGAGAAAAGTCAGTCTGGACTGTTAATTTCTCCTTCCAGAAATTGTCCAAAGCTTTAAAATTTGGACCACTGGACAACAATTCAGGAATTTCTCGTTTTAGTTTCCAGCATCTTCCTCGACTGAAAGTCTTACAGGATGCCCGCGATATTCCATATCTAATGATGATGCACTCTAGAAGAAGTATAATTTCGTACTCACATAAAAACGATCTTATATATATAAAAAAAAAAAAAAAAAAAAAGAAGAAGCTCCACTTCTCAATTCTGATTTTCGGATTTTACCCCATTTCTAGTCACAACCGATACATGCTAATAAATCTTCTTTGCAATTCACAGCAATTGTTGAAAATTATCCGCTCCGAGGAATTCTTACCTGTGTCATAATTCGTAAGGAATTCATATTTTATACACACACACACACACATCTTTAAGGTAAGGCTAAAAGAAAACCATCCAAAACAATACTTACAAGTCTTCTTTTATATATATTCCAGCATATTCTAACAGCGTTATGAAGTAGTTTCTGAGTCATATTTCTCATTTCTTTTTTATTTGTGAAGTAGCTGTCTTTCCCCTGAATTGGACCACAAGTTTTTGCTGATATGATGGCACAGCGTTATGTTTCTTGAGGCCTACCTGCAGAATGAATGGGCCTCCTAGAGTACCATTGAGGCCACCCACAATTGAATTTAGTACTACCAGTTTCCAGGCATGCAATTTAGTACAATTAAGGCCCTTCACTTCACTGCACCATCCTCAGAAGGGTCTACTTGCTGGACTCTGATTGCCCCTGATTTCCGTGCCCACAAGTAGTAATGGTCCGACCCGGTCCGAGTGCTTTTATGCCTTAATCATCGCTTGTTCTTCATCCTAAGAAAGTCAGCATAGAACTTGGAAGGACTCAAAGGATGCCCCAGTCAAAAAGTTAGAATTCGATCAAGAATATCAAATCCTGACTGACTCAAAGGTTTAGTTTCTCAGTTTCCACACGGCTTGAATAACATGTAATAAAGAGAACTCAGTTCATTCAAAGTCTCTATACGCCTCTAGTGGGAGGCTAAGAAATAAAAGTACATGCATATATTTTCATGTAATGAACTTTCAAATAGTAGCTTTTCAAAACTATGCATAAAGATGCCTCCTTGATCCTGAACACAACAATATAGGTGACACGAAATTCTTTTTCTCTGCTATTATGTATATTGACTTGAGTAGCAAGCAATTCTTAAAGCAAAAAGCTATTGACTCTCGAGCAGTTGAGATCTTAGAGATTATGTAAGGGAGGTTTACCTTCATCCTTAAAAACATAACCAATCACTATGCATAATATATGCATCAAATTAAAGTCAAATCCGTATGTGTATTGCTTCTACCAAAATAACATATTACTATCACATTTAGGCATCTCTTTAGATCTCATGCAATTAATGCATTATTAATTTCTGCCCCCACAACGACCTAGTCAGTGACTACCGCGTTTGGAGATCATTGTTCCTCTTCACATTTGATTTGACTAACAATATTGGAACCATTAGAAAATTAAGGCATTAGCAAAAATCAAAAAAAATTTTTTTTAAAGAAAAAGAAGGTTTGAATAGTTTTGATTCGATTTATCAACGCAGAGATTGGGACAAGGTGTATGTTAGAACTATAGGTTTCTTTTAAGAGCGAAATCTTCTTTGTAAAAAGCGATCCATCCTTTCTTACCATTCAGTAAATCAACATATATATGTTGGTGTGGAAATCGTCGGATGTGTACGCGGCAATTCTTAGCAACTCAACGATTACTAACCTGTAATCAAAGTTTGCGAGCGAAGAAGTTACAGTCCGTGACTATTTAATATCATCAGGCCTGCTTATTATATTCTTGCTTCCAAAGTGGTCCAACTAGCTCTGAATTCCATACGGGCAGCATAAGGTTTGTCTGGATTGGGTGCTGCATCATCTATCAATAAAGGGATGTTTGCCTTTCTTTGGCTAATGCTTCTAGCCTACGCCAGGTTGGTGAGCCCTGTGAATTCCAACAATGTATACTCTCCTCCTCCTTCACAAGTCCAGAGCATATTCCTGCTGGCCGGGCAAAGCAACATGTCCGGCAGAGGCGGCGTAATCAATCGCACCTGGGATGGTGTCATCCCATTTCAGTCCCAATCAAAAACACCAAGCATTCGCCGGCTGAGTGCCGTCCAGACTTGGGTGCAAGCTCAGGACCCCTTGCACAAGGATATAGATGTGAACAACACTTGTGGGGTTGGGCCGGGGATGGCGTTTGCAAATTCTGTTATGAGTAAGGACTCGAGTATTGGGGTCATTGGTTTGGTCCCTTGTGCCATTGGAGGTACAAAGATCAGTGAGTGGGGCCGTGGCAGAGAGCTGTACAACCGGCTGATTAGGAGGGCGGAGGGCGCCTTGCAAGGTGGCGGGATTATCAGAGCACTTCTGTGGTATCAAGGAGAAAGCGACACAATTGAGCATGAAGATGCCAAATTATACAAGATCAGGTTGGAGAGATTGTTCACCCATCTGCGTTCTGATCTACAGTTGCCTGCGCTTCCTGTGATCCAGGTAAGAAGAATTAACTTAGGAATGGGGAACTGTCGTGATCAGTGCCAGCCATTGCTGATAATATCATAATTCATTGTTTATTACAACCCCCCCCCCCAAAAAAACAAAAAATCACCAGCATCTTCGAGATGAAAACAAAGGTCCCATGCACCAAAGACTTTGATGTTTATTAATTGACCACTCTACATTATTCACAAGCTAAATTTCAAGGAGAAAACACATTTGTACATATCACATGAATGAAGTAAAGTAAGGTCCATTATTAACGTATAGTGTATAGTTTAAAAACGGTGTTGCTACATTAATAAGACAGACACCTCGTGGCTGGCCAGCCGGTCGGCGAAACATATCCAAAATTAATTTGGTTGTTCTGCATGTGCATTTTATCTACTCCATCATAATAGAATTTGTCTTCTTTTGCGTCGTTGGATTCAGTGGCCATTAATGCATTGGGGTTGAGTTTGTTCGGTGGTTTGTGGGATGTAGGTGGCATTGGCATCAGGACAAGGACCATACGTGGATGTTGTGAGGAAAGCTCAGTTCGAGGTTGACCTCCCAAATGTGAAAACGGTGGATGCCTATGGGCTACCCATGGAGCCGGATTCCTTGCACCTCAGCACTTCAGCGCAGGTCCGGCTTGGGGAGATGTTGGCCGATACCTTTCTTCAGTCTGTGCCTCTGCTGCCCGTTCACGTTCAGAGTAGTGCCTGCAAAACATGTCAAAATTTTGTTTTGGACACTTTTCTTAGGCCATTTAGGTAAAGTCTTTGAATCATGGGTAAAATGCATAATATATCCAGCCTCATTGATCACACTTCATGAATCTATTGCAAAATGCATGTATTTAATTCAATGAATCCAACATGGTATTTATTTTCTTCTTCTTTTTTTAAACTTGTAAGAACCCAAAAATTAATCTATCTTTATAACACCGACAGATATCTTATTTGAATTGTTACTTTAAATTCTGTTGGGCGTTCGAAAGTTGAAATGAAAAGCCTCATCGGCTCTTCCAATTTTAGTTAGGTAAGGAATTCCATGAAGGCCATGACCAAGAAAGGAACAGAATGATCTTTTCTAAGCATGAAATTCGTCGTAAGCGTAAGCAAGAAGGCCGGTCAAGCCCACATTCTACCGGAGAACAGAATGTATCCTGCTTCCTTGCACAAGTCTAAATCCTGAGAGGTATAAGATGTACTAAGTAACCAGGAAACGAAAACCTTTCGCAAATTTTCAGACGGGTTTCATTGGTATTTCAACTTTGTAGAAGTAGATTTTCCCGTTTTAGACTTCATTTCAGTATCTTGTTTATTTGTATAACAAATTAAAAGCCAAAACTAGATTTTTCTTTTTAGGCTTTTCCAAAATCAAATGCAAGCAGAATTTGTTGGATGTATCATATATATTGGAGATTAGTAAAAGCTGCTTTTATAGATATTTTTTTTCATACCAAAAAATAATTGTTTACTGTGCATGCCTGCTCTAACAATATGTCTGCGAGAAGCATTAAAAAAATAGTTTTGTGCAGAGGCCCCATCCTGGGCCTAGACACGTGGCAGCCCAGGACTAGCCGAGCTGGGCCTCGGCCCTTGGAGTCCGGGCAGCCCTCTTGGGCCGCCCTGCCAGGGCTCGCAAGGGGGGCAGGAGTCCATCCCGAGGAGATCGGAGACAATCCCCCTGAGTGCGGGATGCTGGCTGTTCTGGGCAAGTCCCGAAACGTACGGAGGTCGGACTCCCTCGCAGGTATAAATAGTAGCACGCATCAACTGTACAAGGTACGCTCACGATAGGCAAATTACTCTCGGTTGTTATTACTTCCCGTGAATCCTACTCACCGGAAAACTAACTTGACCGTCGAAGTGCCCTCGGGGACGACCCCCGGGCCCCCTCTCCCAGCTCATCCTTGTTTGTTTTGCAGGCTTAGGACCAGCTCTTCCATCAGCACCCCGAGCTCGTCAGTCCAGCTCGGTCCGGGGAAGCTCAGCGCTTCTTTAGTTGGCGCCGTCTGTGGGAAACGTAAGGTAAGCGAGATTGTGTTGATGGCCAGGACGCGGTCCAAGCGCACGGTAGAGAGCGCCGGCCCTGGAGACGGTGAGGGGTCCCCGCGCAAGGAGGCTGAGGCATCCCGGGGCGCCGGGGGCTCAGCCCTTTCAGGGGAGCGCAGGCAGCAGATCTTCCAGTTTGTGACGGAAAATCTCCCCATGCTGGAAGATATAATCCGGCAGGCGAAGGAGGGAGAGGGAGTTGGGGGTGCGCAGACCTCTAAGGCCAAGGGGAAGGAGAAGGAGACGCCCCCTGATCCTTCGGAGGATGAGTCACGAGACCGGCCCCCTAGGAGGAAGCGGCCCCGGACTCCACCTCGCCCGCGAGCCTCGGTGGTCGGAGACAGCGAGAGGTATTCCCGCGACAGGTCAGCGAGGAGCCGTCCCAGAGACCCCTCCCTCCGGAAGCCCATGCGGAATGGGTTCGAGCGTTCCCCTGCTCGGTCTGTCAAGAGCCGACCCTGTGACCTCCTTCATTTGGAACCTGCTCGGGATGAGCTCGAGCAGATCTTGAGACCCCGGCAGTACGAGGACAATTACGCAACCTCGCTTTTTACCCGGGAGATAGAGGACTACCCGCTACCCCGGAGGTTTAAGATTCCGAGCATTGAGATGTACGATGCCTCTACAGACCCAGAAGACCACCTTTCGGTCTTCCTGACGCATATGCGCCTCCAGACCGCCGCGGACGAAGTCCGCTGCAAAACTTTCCCTATGTTTCTGAAAGAGAAAGCACGGCTCTGGTTCCAGGGACTGGCGCCGGGGTCTATACGGAGCTTTCCCGAGCTGGCTCAGCAGTTTGCAGCCCAGTTCGTCTCCTCGAAGGTTTACGCGAGGAAGTTACCCACCTGATGTCCATCAGACAAAGGCCCGACGAGACGCTGAGGAACTTCATGACCCGCTTTAATGCGGAGAGCTTGCAGGTCAGGGACAAGGATGAAAAAATGGTGATGGCCGCCTTCACAAATGGGCTCAGGGTAGAGGAGATCTTCTACGACCTGGCCAAGAAGCCTCCCGCGAACCTGGAGGAGCTCTTACGCAGGGCGCACGAGGCCGCTAATGCGGAGGAGGCAGGTCGCCTGAAGAAGGAATCCGATCAGGAGCTCGGAGATCGGAAAGGTCGGACTAACCCCCAGAGGGTAAGGACGTCCCGTCCAAGAAAAACGTTTTCGACCGGCTCTCGAAGGAGAAGGCCCCTGCTCCGCCGCCACTCCCAGAGAAAATCTACACCCCTCTAACACGGTCCAGAGCCCAGATCTTGGCTGTTATGGAGGCGGAAGGGCTGGGAGATCGGCCGCCCAAGATGGGGACACTCCGGAATAAAAGGAACCAAGATCGGTACTGCGCCTTCCACCGTGACGTCGGACACGACACGGAGGGATGCTGGGCCCTGCGTAAGGAGATAGAAGACCTGATCCAGCGCGGCTTTTTAGGGCGGTTCGTACGCCGACCAGGTCAGGAGCTCGGGCGCAACCACTACGGAGATAGGTACGAGGGACGGCGTCGAGACCGCCCCGAGCGGCGCGACGCTCCTCGGAACCCCTCCCCCGACCTGGAAGACCAGAACCTAGCGGGGGTCATAAACACCATCGCCGGAGGCCCCACGGGGGGAGATAGTCACACAGCTCGGAAGAACAGGCGACCACCCCCCGAGGGAGACGACTCGTTGAAACGCCTGCGCATGGACGAGGAGACCACCTTCGGACCGAGAGATGCGGTTCCCCTAGCGTCCGGGAATCACGAGGTTATAGTGATAGACATTGTCACCAACAACTATTGGGTGAAAAATGTGTATGTCGACCAAGGTAGCGCGGTTGACATTATGTTCTACCGGGTGTTCAAAGAGCTCGGGCTGAGGGACGACCAGCTGACCCCGGTTTGAACACCTCTAGTGGGCTTCACAGGACCACCCATCAACCCGGAGGGAATGATTACCCTGATGATCACGGTAGGGCAGGCCCCCAAATGCCGGACTATCCCTGTCAATTTCGTGGTGGTCAAGCAGCAATTCTCATACAACGTGTTCCTGGGCCGGCCAGTTCTGAACGCCCTCCGAACTATTCCGTCCACCCTCCATCTCAGCGTGAAGTTCCCCACTCCATGAGGGATAGCCGAGGTGCACGGTGATCCAGAGGTTGCCAGAACTTGCTACTTAGCCACGCTCCGCGGGCCGGAGAAGATGGTCGCCCAGACGACCAATTTGGAGCCCTACATCCCAGGAGACGAGACACAGCAGCTGAGCACACAGGACGAGGTCGAGGAATTCCCCTTGAGGGAGGAGAGGCCCGACCAGGTCATCCGCATCGGGGCATTGCTGCCAGCCGAGGAGAAGGAAGGCTTGAAGGCCTTGTTGAGAGAGTACTCCCAGGTCTTCGCATTGACGGTGGAGGACATGCCCGGGATTCCAACAGGCCTGGCAGTCCACCACCTCGACGTGGATCCTCACTTCAAGCCGGTGAAGCAGAAGAAAAGGAGTTTCGCCCCCGAGAGAAATGAGGTGATCAAGGCGGAGGTAGGCAAGTTGCTGGAATCCAAGATCATCCTGGAGGTCTACTACCCGACCTGGCTGGCCAATCCCGTCCTAGTCAAAAAGGAGAACCAGACCTGGAGGATGTGCGTAGACTTCACGGACCTTAACAAAGCCTGCCCGAAGGACTGCTTTCCCCTGCCTAGAATCGACAGGTTAGTAGACTCTACTGTGGGTTTTGACGTTTTATGCTTCCTGGATGTCTTTAAGGGATATCACCAGATAGAAATGGCTGAGGAGAACCGGGACAAGACCTCCTTCATCACCGAGGAGGAAACCTACTGCTACAGGACCATGCCGTTCGGGTTGAAGAACGCGGGAGCTACTTACCAGCGCCTGGTCAACAAGTTATTCCAAAACCAGATCGGCAGAAGCATGGAGGTCTATGTTGACGACATGATCGTCAAAAGTCGAACTGATCAGCGGCTCATACCCGACCTGTGGGAGATCTTGGACATCCTACTGGAGAGCCGGATGGGCCTAAATCCGAAGAAGTGCACCTTTGGGGTCAGATCGGGAAGATTTCTCGGTTTCCTGGTGTCCCGAGACGAAATCCGGACCAACCCGGATAAGTTCCAGGCCATCATGGACATGGCCCCTCCAAGGAACGTGAAGGAAGTCCAGCGGCTCACAGGGAGAATGGCCGCCCTGAGTAGGTTCCTCTCGCGCTCCGCGGTCCGGGGGCTGCCCTTCTTCCTAGTCTTGAAAGCGCCTAAGAATTTCCATTGGACAGAGGAGTGCTAGAAAGCCTTCACCGACCTGAAAGCCTATTTAGCCGAGCTGCCAACTCTGACCGCCCCGGAGTTGGGGGAGACCCTATTCCTATACCTGTCCGCTTGCAACGAGGCAGTCAGTGCGGTCTTGGTGCGAGAAGACATGGGGGCTCAGAGACCGGTGTACTACGTCAGCCGAGCTTTACAAGGGGCCGGAGACGCGATACACCCCGGCCGAGAAGCTGGTTCTTGCCTTGGTGCATGCTGCTCGCAAGCTCCGGCCTTACTTCCAAGCTCACAGCATCGTAGTCCTGATCGACCAGCCCTTGCGCCAGATACTCACCAAGCCCGAGGTCTCGAGCAGGATGACCAAGTGGGCCGTCGAGCTAGCCGAGCATGACCTCAGTTATCGGCCTCGTACCGCGATCAAGGCTCAGGCCTTGGCGGACTTCCTTGCCGAGGGGGCTAGCTTGACCCCGACCGAGCTAGTCCCCACACCCACGGACACCCCGACGGAGGAGCCGTGGGTGTTGTTCGTGGACGGCGCCTCGAGCAAGGAGGGCAGCGGAGCTGGCCTGCTGCTCATCTCGCCCACGGGGGAAGAACTGACCTATGCGCTTAGGTTCGACTTCCCTGCGTCCAACAACGAGGCGGAGTACGAGACCCTGTTGACGGGGTTGCGGATAGCCCACCAGATGGGCATCACCGCGATCCGGGTTCGAAGCGACTCTCAGTTCGTCGTCCTCCAGATCCGTGGGGAGTATGAGGCCAAGGACGAGATAATGAAGAAATACCTGGCTAAGGTACGAGAGGCGGTAGCCCTGTTCGAGACTTTTGAGATCGAGCAGGTACCAAGGTCCCAAAACAAGCGCGCGGACGCCTTGTCCAAGCTGGCGTCCTCCTCGTTCGCCCACCTGAGCAAGGAGGTCTTGGTAGAGGTGGTGAAGCAGAAAAGTATCGACCAGGTCCAGGTCCTGGCGATAGACAGCTCGGCCACTTGGATGGCTCCCCTCGTTGACTTCCTCAGCTCGGGTGCCCTCCCTGAGAACAAAACCGAGGCTCGATGAATCCAACTCCGAGCTGCCAAATACGCCTACGCCGGGGGAACTCTCTACAGGAGGTCGTACTTGTCCCCCTGGCTAAAGTGCTTGACTCCCGAGGAAAGAGACTACGTTCTGCGCGAAGTCCATGAAGGTATATGTGCGGCACATGTGGGGTCTCGGGTGTTGGCCAAAAAGTGCCTTCTCCTGGGCTATTATTGGCCCTCCGTCTTCCGAGACGCCGCAGAGCTGGTACAAAGATGCCGAGCCTGCCAGGTGCACGCCTCACTGCGTCACCAGCCAGCTCGGGAAATGATCCCCATTCACAGTCCCTGGCCTTTCGCCCAATGGGGAATAGACCTCCTAGGTCCATTTCCCCGAACTCCTGGAAGGTACGAGCACCTCGTGGTGGCCATCGACTACTTGGATGGAGGCAGAGCCCCTGGTCTCTATTTCGGGAAAGACGATTCAGAAGTTCTTTTGGAAGAATATAGTCTGTCGCTTCGGAATTCCGCATGTTCTGATATCTGACAATGGGCGCCAGTTCGCCGAAAACCCCTTCAAGGACTGGTATGCCGAGCTCGGGATCAATCAACACTTCACGTCGGTCGGCAATCCCCAGGCTAACGGTCAGGTGGAGAATGCCAACCGAACTATCTTGCAAGGACTAAAAACTAGGCTGGAGCTAGCCCAGTCTAACTGGCTAGAGGAGCTCCCTAGTGTTATCTGGGCCTATCGCACCACGCCTAGGGCGGCTACTCACGAGACACCGTTCTCCCTGACGTATGGGGCGGAGGCAGTGGTCCCCGCGGAGATCGGCCTCCCATCTCCTCGGACCCAGAACTTCGTTGCGACAGCCAACGAAGAAGAGTTGAGATGCAATCTGGACAGGTTAGAGACCAAGCGGGAGGAGGCAGCAATTCGGATGGCTAAGTACAAAAGCCAGCTCGCCCGCTACCACAACGCCCGAGTAAGGAGCATTCAGTTCCAGCCGGGAGATCTAGTCTTGCGAAAAAACTCAATCAGCAAAGCTTACAGTTCCAACAAGCTCGACCCAAACTGGGAGGGTCCGTACAAGGTCCTTGAGGTGAGCCGGGCTGGCTACTGCAGGCTCGCCAAGGTGGATGGATCTGAAGTATCTCGTACTTGGCACTTCTCCAATTTGCGACTGTTTGTAACATAGGTTAGACCAGTGTGTTCAGGAATTTTTGTTTTCTCATTCAATAAAAACCCGACTTCACAATTTCAATTTCACTTGTACTTGTTTCATTTTACCTTACACTAGCACACATAGCGTTCCCTCGCTCAATGTCCTAGTGGGGGGCTAGGGGTATTAAGCAGCCAAGTGTGAGTGCGAAGCGTTCGACCCAGGAGGTCGGCACGAACGCACTCAATGTTTAGGTACTCATCCAAGTGTGAAGTGTTCGGCCCAGGAGGTCGGCACGATGGAAGTGTGAGTGTGAAGCGTTCGACCCAGGAAGTCGGCACGAACACACTCAATGTTTAGGTACTCATCCAAGTGTGAAGTGCTCGGCCCATAAGGTCGGCACGATGGAAGTGTGAGTGTGAAGCGTTCGACCCAGGAGGTTGGCACGAACGCACTCAATGTTAGGTACTCATCCAAGTGTGAAGTGCTCGGCCCAGGAGATCGGCACGATGGAGAGGAACTTGGAAGCGTGGGAGGATTCTTGAAATTCCGCGTTCGACCCAGGAGGTCGGCAGGAACGCCCTTAGCGTCTAAGTGCTCAGCCCCAAGAGACTGGCACACCCCCTTAGTGGGTCTATTTGGTGCTCGACCCTAGAGGTCGGCACATGACGTTGCTTGCAGGCAAGAAAAGCAGAGTGATTTTTCGAAATTTCGCATATGCATTCAAAGCCTATCTATTACAACGCTTCCGAGCTGCCTATCTATTACAAAACTTTCGAGTTGCCTATCTGCTACAAAATGTGCCGAGCTGTGAAGAGAAAATATCTCGAACCCCTCCTTCTTGCTGGTAGCCCGCCTGGAGCAGGAGCTGGAAATGCACCTCAAACATGCTGAGAGGCGTATGGTGAGGGCTATCCAATCGAACCTTCCCGTCTCAGATGGACCCCCAAGAGCATTTTCAACTGGAGCATGGCCACATCCTTATAAGAAGACGGAAAGGGTTTCTGGAGTGGTCGCCGCTCTAGACCACCGGCTCCTTCCCGGCAGCTCTACCAGGAGACTCGCCCTCCTCCAAGGGAACCTCCTCCAGCATGGCCCCGGTGTCGGTCCGGCCCGCCAGCTCCTTCAGGGAATGCCCCTTGCGATACCCGTCGAAAAGCCAGTCCAGGCTCGCTTCGGCCGCGGGGTTGTAATTCTTGAACCTCGCCAAGTCGAGGCCGGGAGGGTTGAGTTTCTTCATCTGGTCCAGGGCCCGAGTGCAGCCGACCTGGAGGATGGGCAGGTTGAGGTGAGCGATGTCCTCCTCAAACTGATCGGAAGTGAGGAACTCCCGAACAGCCTTCTTTCGCTCCCGGCTGACGGTGCCGGAGAGCTCGATGGCGTGCTCTTCCTTCAGCTTGGCCACGCCGGCCCTCTCCTGGTCGAGCTCTGACCTGGTGGAGGCGAGCTGGACCTGAGCGGTGTCCAACTCCTTCTCGGCCTTGCCCAATTTGGCCTTAAGGGAGCTTGTCTCCTTAAGGGCCTGGGACAGTTTCTTCTCCGCCTCCAGGTTCTTCTTCCGCAACTTCTCCAGGTCGGGAGACATCTCAGAGAAGCGGGTCGCCAGGGCGGCACCAACAGCGTTGGCCTGAAAGGGGAAGAGAACAGGTCAGCACGCCGCACTACTTAACCGAGACACGGAGGCAAAACTATCCCAAGGGCTAGACTTACTTGAGTTTGGGCGGTGAAATACGCATCCAAGAGCTCGGAAGGGTCGGCCAGCTCCATCCACCTCCTGTCGCGAGGGAGGACCGAGCCCACCATCAGCTCCCGAGCCACCTCGGGAAACTGGGCTCGATCGTTGATGGAGAGCTCCCAGGACGGGCAGAAGTGGCGGGGGTCGTGCATCGTGAGGGCTTGGCCCGGCTTCAAAGGGGCCACGTGGCGGAAGTGCCACAAGTTCGGAGGGGTGGACTCCAGAGCGTGCTCCTCGGCGGAGCCCACGCCCAGATGGACTGACCCCCCCGAGGCCAGCGCAAGCGGAGGGGGATGGACTGGAACCACCGCGAGTTTCTTCGCGGGCTGGGAAGGCTCGTCCCCTCGACCCCTCTTCTGCCCGGCCGCCTTTTTGTTGGCAGCCTTCTTGGTAGGGGAAGGGGTTCCTTGCGCTTCTTTCTGGGGGGCTGAGCCGTCCCCCGGGGTGGAAGCCCCTCCTGGGGCCCCCTGAGCAGTCTCGGGCTGGGGGTCGGAAGTGACCCCCCGAGGGGTGCGCCCAGCAGCTGGGAGAGCTTCCTCACTGCAACAAACACAACCAGATAAGCGAGACGCAAGGCAGTTTAAGGGAAAAAGGAAAAACCAACATATACTACAAATGCGATAGGGGCAAAGCCAGCGTTACAGGTGTCGAGTTTGGGCTGGGGGGTAGCCACTTCCCCAGAGGATCCGAACACCGTCCCCATCAGCCCGGATGCGGAGATCTGCTCAGTGGAGATCCTGGTGACATCGAGTTTCACCTTGGAGCCCAACAGCTGGCCGAGGGTATCGTAGTCCAGGTCCTCCGGATAGGGGTCGGCCTTGATTCCCCCAACCTTCCACACATTGGGGGGAAAATGTGTGGATCTGACAAAGAAAAAGTCCCCCTTCCAGTCCTTCACGGAGGAGGGGAGCCCGTAGAACAACTCCTGGACCCCTTTTCCTCCCTTGGTTTGGGGGCCACGGCGGGAGAAGTAGTACCATCCCGGGAGGGCGGTCTTAAGGATGAAGGCAGCTCGGAAGATGGAGAGAGAGTAGGGGATATCGCAGAGGAGGCAGTAGATCAGGAATCCGGTAATGATCCTGATGGAGGTAGGGTGAAACTGGGTAATCCTGAGCCCCCAGTGGTTCAGGATCTCGGTGAGAGCTGAGGGAATGGGGAGACGGAGCCCGGCGATGAGCTGCTCCCTATAGATGGCTACGAAGCCTGGGGGAGGTCTGCAGGCCCGGTCGTTAGGCCCGGCCGCCCTCGACTCGTAGACTGGAGGAATGGAGTAAGATTTGGCTAGCTCGGCCACTGCCTTGGAAGATAGGGTGGCCTCCTGCAGGTCGACATGACCATAGGAGAGCTCGGGGTCATCCCCCTGCTCTGAAGCAGGGGTCCCCTCAGAGGCATCCCTATCCTCCCCGGCTCCACCTTGGGCTCCGCCGGGGGAGTCGTGTGGGGACTTGGGGGGGTGGAGGTAGCCTGCCGCGCGATGAGGGCATCTAGCTCGGCTACCTCCTCAGCGGCTCGGGCCGAAGGAGAATGGGCAGAAGAAAAACTCATGATGACTATGGGATTGAGCAGGTCAGGGTTGGAGGCAGAAGAAGAAGAAGGAGGAGGGGGAGAAGGCGACGACGAGGGCGAAGATGAGGAAGAAATGAAGATTCTGGTGGCTCTGCGACGGACCGGAGATGGGGAGGCGGTGGAAGTGACGTCGGAGTGACCCGACATAAAAGAGATGGCAGAAGCAGGAAGGAACACTGAAGGAAAAGGAGAAAGGAATCACGAAGGGACTTACTGATGATCAAGGCGGAGGGAGGACGGAAGACTCGCCGGAATCTGGGCACGGGACACCGGAGATTGCTGGGAAATGGAAATGCGAATGCACAAGGAAAATGAGAGTGCAGAATGCGCGAGGGGAAGAAGAAATGGCAAATGGAGTCGGGTGAAATCCGAGGACCCCTATTTATAAGGAAGGGAAATGGGGGGGAAAACGGTTGCGTGAATTTGAACCGACCCCCATGTGAATACATTTAATGCTGGTACGGAAACCGAAGAGGCGTGACAACTGAAAGGACATGGGCGCGGCATCCCTGCGGCAGCACTGTACCAGAAATGACCTGGGCAGAGTAGTGCGCGGCCCTGGCCTCCCACGTGGCAGAGGTAGATTAGGTCTGCCTGACAGCCCTACCTAATCTAGGGGGCTAGTGCAGAGGCCCCATCCTGGGCCTAGACACGTGGCAGCCCAGGACTAGCCGAGCTGGGCCTCGGCCCTTGGAGTCCGGGCAGCCCTCTTGGGCCGCCCTGCCAGGGCTCGCAAGGGGGGCAGGAGTCCATCCCGAGGAGATCGGAGACAATCCCCCTGAGTGCGGGATGCTGGCTGTTCTGGGCAAGTCCCGAAACGTACGGAGGTCGGACTCCCTCGCAGGTATAAATAGTAGCACGCATCAACTGTACAAGATACGCTCACGATAGGCAAATTACTCTCGGTTGTTATTACTTCCCGTGAATCCTACTCACCGGAAAACTAACTTGACCGTCGGAGTGCCCTCGGGGACGACCCCCGAGCCCCCTCTCCCAACTCATCCTTGTTTGTTTTGCAGGCTTAGGACCAGCTCTTCCATCAGCACCCCGAACTCGTTAGTCCAGCTCGGTCCGGGGAAGCTCAGCGCTTCTTCATTTTGATATTTTTGTTTGGAATTTCATGGTTGATAATGATCATGACGAATGCTCCTGTACAAAGAAACCAAGCCAATACCAAATGGTCCTAATCAAAAAGCACGAATTCTTGTTAGCTGGGGAAAGTAACATGGCTGGCCGTGGAGGGGTGGACAAACACATTTGGGATGGTTTTATTCCTCAAGAATGTTATCCTGATCCAGCAATTCTTCGGTTAAATGCAGGACTTTCGTGGGAGGAAGCATATGAGCCACTGCACTGGTATATTGATGCCAACAACACTTGTGGGATTGGACCAGGACTGGCTTTTGGTAATAGCCTACTGCAAAAGGCTGAGTACAACTTTTGAGGCCATAGGTTTGGTACCCTGTGCTGTGGGAGGAAGTATTATTAAGAGTATCTAATTTTTCCTCAGATAAAAAAATTATGATTTCAAGGGTAGTTGTGTCAATTAATTAATTAATTACACGCCCTCCTATTTTAAAATATGAACTTAAATTATGTTAGTATTTAGCCAATTGAAATTAATTACCAAATAACTAATCACCACATCATAAATTTCCTTTACAAAACTAATTTTCATGAATAATATTTTTACCAAAATACCATAATTTTGATCACTTGCACACATCTAGAATGCGTCACCGGTACAGGTACACCGCATACTGTATGTAATATATTGCGTTTGATGCAAATTACAAGTCTGGC